AGGAAGGAAGGAAGGAAGGAAGGAAGGAAGGAAGGAAGGAAGGAAGGGAAGGAGAGAGAGAGAGAGACAGAGAGAGAGAAAGAAAAAAAACAAAAGGGAAACAGAGAAAAAATAAGTATGTGGCTTTCCTCTTTAAAAATCATGTCAGTGATCTCCCCCATATGGATGCCAAAAATTCAGACCCCACAAGGACTCTTGGAAAATTCCAGAGAATATACTCATCCAGTGCTGGAGGATGACTCCAGTTCTCATTATTGGAAATCGAAACTCAAATTGGAACTTTAATCCTAGCTGGCCTTGGTCATGAGAGGGAGGTGAGAGATGGGGAGTTCCAGCTCTTTCTATCCACCAAGAGAGAGAGGGGCTCTGTTGCCTCCCAGCCCCTTGGCCCCGATCACTGGCAGCTCGGAGCCTGGCGTATGTGAGTGTGCACTGGGCTATGTTTTGTCCCCAGAACGTCTGCACTAAGTGTGGGGTGGAGACCTCCAATAACCGCCCGCATTCCGTGTGGCTCTGTAAAATCTGCATCGAGCAGAGAGAGGTGAGTGGACCGGTCACCATCCCTATTTGTCCAATCCCCCCCCCTCCTCACTGCCAGCCGGGAAGCAGGGTGGCCATTGAGGGCTGGGGAGCCTGGTTAGGTGTAGGTCTTATGGGATTGGTAACAAGGAACCAGCTCAGCTGTGAACACTGGCAGGACTGTTCAGTGAGTGTTTGAATGAAGTTCTTTTCTCATCTCCCGCTTCTGTGGCTTGACTCTTCCTCGACGTAGGGAGCTCACCGCGTGTAAGAGGTGGCAGGTGCTATGTGACCTTATACTAGTTCATCACCTTTCTGATCCTCAAATTTCCCCATCCAGGAGATGGGTGTACTCAGGCCCTCTCTACGGAGTGTTTGGGGTTGTTGTGTGAATCAAAGAGGAGTTGTGACAGGCTATGTGGTGTGTCAGTGTGCTGAGTGCAGGGAGTAAAGGCAAAAACTGGCACTCATGAAGGCAGGGCTGATAGTGCATGGTTGCCATGTCTTCATCCTCTCCCTGTCCTCCCCCAGGTGTGGAAGCGTTCTGGAGCGTGGTTCTTCAAGGGATTCCCCAAACAGGTCCTCCCACAGCCTATACCTATAAGGAAGACCAAGCCCCAGGAGCCTGTCAGTGAGCCTGCTGTCCCTGAGCAGGTCACTCCTGAGCCCAAGCATGCCGCCCGGGCTCCAACCCGAGGTACAACGAAACAGCTTCTCCTTTCAGGACCACGGACAGGTCTTGGCTAACTGGTCTACCTAGAGGATGTCCTGACATCATGACTGTGTTTCCACCCAGTTGGTGGACAGCCAGCCTCTGGATTTAGGACCCTTATGTCCACTGCACAACTCACCATGAACCTTTGTCAAGAGGGTAGCATAGCAAGCCCGTGTCGAAAACCGTATGGAGTGTCCTCAAAATTTAAAAATAGAACTACCCTATGATTCAGCAGTGGCGCTACTGGGTATTTACCCAAAGAATACAAAAACACTAATTCAAAGGGATACATTCACCCCTGTGTTTATAGTAGCACTATTTACAATAAGCAAGATATGAAAGCAGCCCAAGTGTCCATAGATTGATGATGGATAAAGATGTGAGATACACACACACAGGGATATTACCCAGCCATAAAAAAGAATGAAATCTTTCCATTTGTAACGACATGGACGGAGCTGGAGAGTATAATGCAGAACTAAATAAGTCAGTCAGAGAAAGGCAAATGCCATATGATTTCACTCATATGTGGAGTTTAAGAAACAGAACAAATGAGCAAAGGGAGAGAGAGAGACAGAGAGAGAAACCAAGAAACAGACTCCTAATTATAGAGAACAAACTGATGGTTACCAGAGGAGAGAGGGTGGGGGATGGGTGAAAGAAGCGATGGGGATTAAGGAGAGCATTTGTCATGACGCACAGTGGGTGTTGTATGGAAGTGTTGACTCACTATCGTACACCTAAAACTAATGTGACACTGTATCGTATAGTGTTACACAATAATACTATTGTATAATAGTGGAATTTAAAACGGTTTTTAAAAAGAGGGTAGAACAGGGAAGTCTCCAGCAATGTCAAGCTGCCAAAAGCTTTCGCTGTCATCCCTGATGGAGTGTTTAGAGGTACAACAGAGGTGGGAATTAAAACTAGAAGCTGAGAGACTTCTGTCACCAAAATGCACACTGGAGCCCGAGGGGGATTTGCTGAGAAGGCCTTCCTTGTCCCTGATACTTCTGCTATCAGCCATCAGCATATCTGAAATTGTACTAATTAAAAGTGAAAGTTGAGCAAAAGGGGAATTCATAAAAGAAAATTACCATGACTGTGGATATTATCCCTATTACCCGAGTATTATGATTAATTAGTAAAATGATGATGATAAAAGGGAGAGGCAAAAAAAAAAAAAAAGTTAAAAGAAAAGAAGCCACTGCTATCAAAACATATCATAATTGAGTGAGACCATTAGGTCCGACCAGATGAGGCCCCTGTAATAATTTCAGCTAACACTAAATGATAAAATCTGGTGTGAATGACGGTTCTGGAGTTGAGCGCAGGCAGTGTTTCTGAAAGGAAATTTATAGTTGAAGGTCTCAAAAGTTCAAATGTCCAACTATGCCTCCTGTAAGATGACTTCTCAAGGTGCCCAGGCTCGTGCCTGGCACCCACATGGCATTCACCAGATGTTTTCCTCCTGACATGACATGAGCAATTTCTGCTCCTTGGCAGAGAAATACCAAATTCTCAATATACAGCGCATCCCCGAGGAGCCCCCACACTCACCCCCAAGACTTCCTTCTTCCTGGTTAAGCACTATTCCCTGTAGGCTGAGAAGACTACATGGCATAACTGTCAAGATCTGGGACATCTGAGACCAGGAGGACCTGAATCTCATTTCTCTGCTACTTACCAGCTGCGTGAGCTTGGGCAAGTCGCCTGGCCCTCTGAGACTCTTTCCTCACCTATGAAAAGGGCTGAATAACTCACCGGGTTATTTTGAAGGTTACGTGAGATACTACATGGGAAGTGCTTTGCACGATGTGGCGCTTCGTAAATGTTGGCCAATGTTATATCACGTTAATCACGTAGACACAGACGCATACGCACATAAATAGTATGAATTAGCTTATCACATAAACTCTGGACAAAGCATTAACTCCAAGACTGCGGTCGATGTGACACCCACTCACGTCGCTAGAAAGAAGTAACATCACCAGCGTTGCACAGTGCCACCTAAAAAATTATTGGTAATAACATCCAGTGCTGATGAATGTGGCGGAAATGAATACCCTATAAACCATTGGTAGGACTATAAGTCACCTCCAGCCTACTGGAAAGTATTATGGCAGAATTTATTAAAATTTGAAGTGTATATACCATTTGATCCAGCAATCCCTATCTGGGAATATATTTAACAGCAATAAAAGGACCAATATAGGGGCGCCTGAGTGGCTCAGTCAGTTACGCATCTGAATTTGGCTCAGGTCATGACCTCACTGTTTGTGAGTTCGAGCCCCACGCCCAGCTCTATGCCGACAGCTCTGGGCCTGGAGCCTGCTTCAGATTCTGTGTCTCTTTTTCTCTCTGCCCCTCCCCAGCTTGTGCTCTGTCTCTCTCTCTCAAAAACAAATAAATATTTAAAAAGGTTTAAAGGACCAATATAAAAAGATATATGTGTAAGTATATTTATTGTATCACTTTCTATGTGCCATTTTCTATCGCAGAACCACTGGAGAAACCCAAATGTTCATTAATGGGATTGTCTAATGGATTATGATCTAGCCATACCATGCTATGTTAGGCGTCTTTTAGAATCCAATGATGTAAATGTGTATGATAGATTTTGAATTATGCCCATGATAGGAGCTTACAATATTCTTTTAACAAATATTTACTGAATGCCCAACGAGTTCCAGGCTCTGTTCTGTGCCCTAGGAACACAGTGATAAATGGAACAGACAAAATCCTTGTCCTCGCACAGCTAAAATTCTACTGGGGGAAACAGATACTCGACAGAGAGCATATGCAGATATAATAGAATATCAGTGGTGATGACAGCCAGAGGCAAAATGAAGCGGGTGAGGGGGACAGATGTGGCAGGAGGGTCTGTGTTGGATGGAGTGGCCACAGAAGGGCTGTCTACGGAGACGGTGTTTGGAGAGAAGCGTAGAGAGGGCTCATGGAACGTTTGAGAATGTGATGTGCAAAAGGACTTGAGGTTGGAGCATGCTCGGTGAGCGAGTCCTGGGGAAAATCAAATCAACTGAGCACATTCTAGAACAGTTTGTGTGATCATTGACCGAGGATCCCAGTTTGCTCTTTTGAAAGCCTGTGTGTGCTCACATGTGCGTGTGCATGCCAAGGAAATCATGTGAGATTGTAAACGGGAGCTACACCGCAGGGGAAGAAAGGAGAAGAGGCTTTCAGTTCACTTTTTAAAAGTTCCTAGGGGTGGTGATGGGCCCCTTTGGGTGTTCCTTAAGTGGCAGCTCTCCAGAAACCATAAAACAAGTTCTCTTCATCTCTCTCTCTCTCCAGGTGACACGGAAGACCGGAGGGGCCCAGGTCAGAAGACAGGTAGGTCCTGCCCACCCTGTCTTCTACTTTATCCCATCCCTCTCTTGCCCTTTCTCCATTTAATACATGCTTTTCCCTCCAGGTCCTGACCTGGCCTCTGCCCCCGGGCGAGGAAGCTATGGGCCCCCTGTGCGCAGGGCCTCTGAGGCACGCATGAGCTCATCCAGCCGGGACTCAGAGAGCTGGGACCATGGCCACGGTGGGGCTGCCGCTGACTCCAGCCGGAGCCCAGCTGGTAGGAGACATGGGCAAATCTAGATGGGCTTCCTGGAGGAGGAGAATCAAAAGGAGTTGGGGGGGCGGGGAGGACAATGTTTTAATTCATTTATTCGTTCAGTATCTGTTGAGTATCTACTGTGTGCCACGCTCTGTTCTAGATGCTGGTTCTAGTCTATGGTAGAGGAAAGACAGAGCTCAGAAACAATTCTTACCCTACACATCCATACTTTGGGTTATATCCCTTTCCTGCTCTAACGCCAAATGTAAGGAAAATGTGGGTTTTTTGCCCTCCTCCCTGGAAGCCCTAAGGAAAATGCAACGTACTTTTGAGTACAGTAGGGAAGCTTCCCTCTCACAGACCCACCCAAGTTCTTTCTTCTCTTGGCCGGTGTCCTCTGCTGTCCACGAGGATGGGGTAGGTCAGCACGGTCAGGACGCTTCTCATCTCATTGGGTCCCAGCACCTCCAGCTGCACTCAAAGTGGATTTATTTGGCGAGAGTGCATGATGGTGGGAATCCTTGATTCCTGGACTTGGACTTTTGGACCAGGTCCCAAGTTAGATGGGCTGAATATTTAGGTCCCATGTTGACCTCTGGCTTCTCTTCCTGAATAGTGGGTGTAGAGCTTAGGCCCTTAGTCCCTCTTCTTCTTGGCAGGAGAGCTGGGCACATACCTTGTGCTTAATCCACTGCGCACACCCCCTAGTGAACCTATGGTTCAGATTCACAGAAAAAGAAGAATTTCTCAGGTCTACAACATCATGGAATATTTGTTGAGTGCTTACCATGTGCCAGACATTGTCCCGAGCTCTTCACATACATCATCTCATTTGATCCTTGTCATACCCCCAAATCCTTTTGCGAAGATTCCTATTATTCCCATTTAACAGATGGAGAAACTGGGCGCAGAAAATTGATGTCGTTTGCCCTAAGCCACACAGCTGTCAATTGGTTCAGATGGAAATGAAACCCGTGTCTCTCTGACATTAAAGCCTGGGCTTCTTGTTTTTCCCCTTCCAGAGGTGAAGTTTTTATTGACAATGCTTTTAAAAAAATCTTTTTTAATGGTGGTAAAAAATATACACTAATATTAAATTTGCCGTTTCAAGTACTTCGAAGTATATAGTTCAGGGGCCCCAAGTACATTCCCATTGTCATGCAACCATCACCACTAACCATCTCCAGAATGATTTCATCATCTCAAACAAACCTTGTACCCATTAAACGCTAATTCCCCATTCCGTCTTCCCTCCCAGCCCCTGGAATCCACTGACCACCATGGATCTGCTTATTCTTGACATTTCATATAAATGGAATTACACAGTATGTGGCCTTTTGTGGGTAGACATTTTGTTTATCCATTCATCCGTTGATGGACATTTGGGCTGTTTCCACCTTTTGGCTGTTGTGCATAATGAACATTGGTGTACAAGTATCGATTTGAGTTCCTGCTCTTAATTTTGGGGTGTATATATGTATATATATATATATATATATATATATATATATATACATATATACACGTATAGAAGTGGAATAGATAGATCATATGGTAAATTTATGCTTAAATTTTTTAGGAACCACCATACTGTGTTCTACAGTGGGCTCACCATTTTTACAGTCTTACCAGAAATATACAAGGGTTCCAGTTAATCCACGTCTTCACCAACGCTTATATATACATACATGTGTGTCTGTATATGTAGGATATATACGTGTATATATATATATACGTATATATATATATATATATATATATATATATATATATAGTATGTGTGTGTAACCATCCTAATGCGTGTGAAGCAATATCTCATGTTTTTGATTTGCATTGCCCTGATGATTCGTGACATTGAGCATCTTTGCATGTGCTCATTGGCTGTTCATATATTTTCTTTGGAGAAATGTCTCTTCCAGTCCTTTGCCCACTTTTCATTTGGGATGTTTGTTTTATTATTGTTGACTTACGGGAGTTCTTTATATATTCTGGATATTAATCCCTTGTCAGATCTATGATCCGCAGATATTTTCTCCCATTCTGTGGGTTGCCTTTTCACCCCATTGATAGGGTCCTTTGATGCACAGAAGTTTTTAATTTCGATGAAGTCCAATTTTTCTCATTTTCTTTTGTTCTCTGCGCTTTGCGTGCCATATTCAAACAGTCGCTCCAAAGCCAATGTCGTGACATTTTCCCTGAGTGTGCTCTTTTAAGACTTCTGTGGTTTTAGCTTTAGCTCTTACAGTTAGGTCTTTGATCTATTTTTAGCTAACTTTTGTATATTGAAGACTGCGCTTTTAGCCCGTGTATTATGTTGCCTGTTGAGGGAAAAGGCAGTCACACAGATTCCTGAGCCAGATTTGGATCCCCTGTCCCTCGAGTCAGTGTAATGTCCCTTCGTCTGTGAAACTTGTAGCATCCGCCCTGCTTCACCTTGAGAAGAGTTCATTGCTCCCTCCTCTGAGTCCCCAGAGTTCTGACACACAGCTCTACTCAGTGCTTGTCACCATCTAAAGCGTGTTGTAGCCAGAATCCCTCTCCCTGAAAGAGCAGCAGAAGACAGGCGGTCGGCAGATCCAGGCACCTTAGGTGAGTGTTAAAAACACTGGTTCCTCTGCCGCATTTCAGACCTACGAAATCAGAATTTCTGGGACTGGGATCCAGAAGCTGCACTTCTTAAGCAAACTCTTCATGTGATTTCAGTGAATGCTGAAGTTTGAGAACCATTGTTTGAGAGCCTGAAAAGTCAGATAAAAGAGTTTGGACTTTTTCCCGAGGGTGTCAGGGAGCCGCAGAAGGATCCTGAGCAGAGAAAGGGCCAGTGTCTTGCAATTTTTATATTATCCACACATCTCATAGCTATGGCAATGCAAATCCTACCTAGTGGCACTGAGGTCGGTCAGAGGGGTCTGCTGCTCCAAAACACAGACATGTCTGTGCCACCCTTTTTGTGCCATCGGAGGAAGGGATGGTTGCGACCGTTCCTGATCTGTAGCCCAGCTGCCCTTGCTGTGTAAGAAAAGGTTCCGTCATGCCGGGAGCCCTCAGTGACGAGCCTAAGCCCCAGAGGGGGTCCCACCAGGAGCGCTGAGAACAACTTGCCACTCGGGCCCCAGATCCTTGACAAGAATCAGCTGACCTCCGCATCTTCCATTCAGTAATCCCGATGCCTCCCAGGGCCCCTTTCTCTCCAGATCTGGGACCTGGAGTTAATGCCATGGAATAAAGCAGAGTTATTCTGACTTTGCTTTATGCTACAGAGGTCGCCTGTGCATCGACGACCTCCGTTTGGGTTGGAAAAACCCAAACTCTAAATCCAAAGGCCACCTTCACTGTGAAGCGTCCCCATCCCCCCAGCCAGAGGTCACCCCTCACCTCCGTCCCCCGTGATGTTACTTCTTTACCTGTATGGCCATTTCAGTTCAATGTCAAGTGCACAAATACCAGATCAAAGACTGTGTGGGGTCAGATCCCAGCTCGACCACTTACCAGCTGGGTGTTCCCATTTTACAGATGGGGGCACTGGGCTTTCCTTTATTATCAAACGGAAATGATAATGGTAATCATTCTTATCTCGGGTTGCTCTAAAGGATTAAGTAAACTAAAACCTCAGATCTCAGAACAGAGCCTGACATGCCGTGAGGGCCGGTGTGCATTATTACTCACGGGATTCCGGAGCCGGGTGAACCTGGTCGGAGGTCCTAGCCACTTCCTAGATACGTGACCTTGGGCACACTTAACTTCCCTTTTCTTGACCGCAAATGGGGACCGTAACACTACGCATGGCGTCAAGTTGTGAGGGTTCCCTGAGGCGAGGCTCACGGCCTGGCACATTTGAAGCGCTCAGTGGATGTTCACTGTTATCGCTGTTTTATAAACTCATTATTTCAGTGTCTGCCTCCCTCCTCTGACTGGGCCATCTGCTCCTGGAGGAATTAAAGTGATTTTTGTCCATCAGGATGGGCAGTTCGTAGACAATGAACACTTGTTGAATGAGTGAGTGAATGAATGAAGGAATGAACAAGGACCCAGATGAACAAAAGCACAGTGCTACTACAGGACCCGGGGACAAGACAGAGGGACTGGTCAGCCCCCAGCCAGCGGTGGCAAAGCACCTTCTGTCATTAGCATTCAAGCATCTCTCCAGTGACACAGGGCTGAGTTCAGGAAAGGCGGGATCCAGCCCAGAGAAGTGAGAAAGGACTTTCTTCCAGGAATGTCATGCCTTCTGGATGTCAGGACCTGCTGTGTACATTATCCCATTTGATCCTCCAGTAGCTCTGGAGGAGACAGTAGCACCTCATTGTCTCAGGCAGACTCCGGAGACCAAATGCCTGAGTTCAAATCCTGGCTTTGCCATTAACCCGGCAAGAGATGTTAGCCCTCTGTGCCTAGCTTCCCCATTTGTAAAATGGAGGTAAATCAGCGCCCACCTCATGGGGTATAGAGATTAAACAACCTCTTATATGTGAAGTCCCTGGAACATGGTAAGCATTAAATATATGACAACTCATTATTATCAGTAGGTAGAGCTCAGAGATGCAGAGAGGGTGAATGACCATCCTAAAGTCACACAGCTTATACAAGAAACTGGGATGCAGAGCTAGGCCCATGTGAAGATAGAGACCAGATTCAATAATAATAATAATAATATTCGGTGTTTACTCCGTGCCAAGTGCTGTTCTGAGCACGTTGGCCTGTATCGCGTCACAGCATCTCCACCACAACCCTAAAAAGTAGGTACTCTTATCCCCATTTCGCAGGCGAGGAGACCGAGGCCCAGAGAGGATAGGTCGCTTGTGCAAGGTCACACAGGTGGAGGTGACATCCTTCCCTTTTCAACACCCGTGTCATTGTTGTGACCTGGTTCAGGGCATCTGAGTGTTGCAAAGAGAGAAGGCACCGGAGGGGGAGGAGAGGGTCTGGAGGAGCAGAGAGCATCGGAGCCTGCACTCAGTTCAAAGCCGGAAGGCATTACCTCGTGCCAGCTGACCAGACCCAAGGTTCCTCCCGTGTCCACTGTGTGTGTGTGTGTGTGTGTGTGTGTGTGTGTGTGTGTGACATGACGGGCTGTCTCCTTTCCTTACCCCTGCAGGTTTGCGACGAGCAAACTCAGTCCAGGCCTCCAGACCGGCCCCCGCCTCCGTGCAGAGCCCAGCCCCTCCACAGCCCGGGCAGCCAGGTACCTGCCGCCCCACCCCCACCTGTCACCCAGCTGTGACCCTGGGACCTCCCGTCCTTGCTTGCAGAGCCTGCCGGCTTCGTGCAAAGCCACAGCCACCGCCAAACCCTCAGAATGAGTAATCAATCCTCTGGGCGGGCAGGTGGAGCAGGGGCCGGACAGAAGCAGCCTACCTGCGTGAAGTGCCTCGGCCTCTGCCCCCTTCCCTCCTCGTTGTCGGGTCACTCTCCATCACCGTCCTTACCTCATACATCTGCCTCCTGCTCTCTCATTTCTTCACATCTTTCCTCAAATTGGTTCGCTTGAAAAATGCAACTGAGAGAACTCGCTATCTCCAAACTCCTCTCTCAAGGGAATGTTGGGGACACATGGTTCCCAGAACAGTAGTGTGAGATTCAGGAAAAATTGGTGGCCAAAGAGACGAGTCATATGGGAAAATCTAAACAAATGCGGATTGCATGAAACAATAGGAGCGATGCCTCATTGGTGCTGTTAACATTTTGCTCCATTTTTTAAAATGTTTATTCGTTTCTGAGAGATAGAGACAGAGCGTGATCTTAACTTGATCATCGGCAAAGAAACCTCTTTCCAAATAAGGCCACGTTCCCAGGGACTGGGGGCTAGAACCTCAACATCCTTTGGGGGAATACAATTCAACCCATTGCAGAAGGTAGTTCTAAAAATTAATGTCATGAAAATTAAACGACGCAGTGAGGTTCTCAGTACGCTGGCCTGAGGAAGGTTCTGAGTCCGAGCTCTGTCCCTTTTTTGCTCAGAAGGGAAATTCACAAAAGTTAGAGACAAAGTGGCACCTGAATGAGACATTTCCACAATGGAGTCGGTATTGAAGGGCAGTGGAAACTGACGCGACTGTCTCCCTGTGTGGTTGAATGATCTTTCATGCCCCCTCGGCTCTCCCCCCGCCCCATCCCAGGCTTTGGGAAATGTAGTTGTAAAAATTCTGCTGGACCAGTAATAGCCCTGTAGCAGTGGGGGACTCCGGGTATAAACTTGCCCGTCCCCTCACAAGCAATCCTTACTCCATTCGTCCATCAACCTCATGACAGCCCATGAAACATGACAAGCAGGTACAGGCATCCTCATTGTGTAGACCCAGGAAGGAAGTATTGGGGCTTGAACCCAGGCCTTTCTGACCCCAGAGTCCCCAGTGGGGCCATTCCTGCAGCCCTGGAGGCTCCTTCTCATCGCCTGCTGCCCCCAGGCCTGTGTCCACACCCCCGACATGAGGGGGGAGAGGGAAGAACAGGGAAATCATGCCACCTGTGCTCCACCCCTCTCTCTTTTCCCCATTCAGGGCCTCCAGGAGGCGGCAAAGCCAGCCCTGGGCCAGCAGGACGCTTTCCAGATCACAGACCAGGCAAGTGTTCCCCCTCCTCCCATACCTGTCCAGTGGCCACGCCCTCCCACCTCCTGTGAGAGAGCCCGGGCTGCCAGACCTTCCCCAGCTGTGCCCAGAGACCCATCGGATGAGCTCTAAGGGACCCCCTGATTCCAAAACTCTAGATACTCCTTACCAAGATTAAATAGAAAAGGACAGAGCATACAGTGGTTAAGAGCACGGACTAACCTGAATTCAAATCCTGGCTCCTTCACTTCCCAGCTACGTGACCCTGGGCAAGTCACTTAACTTCCTTCCCTGGGCCTCAATATCCTTATCTCTAAAATGGGAGGGATGCCTGGGTGGCTTAGTGGGTTAAGTGCCCGACTTCAGCTCAGGTCATGATCTCATGGTTCGTGGGTTCGAGCCCCGCATCAGGCTCTGTGCTGACAGCTCAGAGCCTGGAGCCTGCTTCAGATTCTGTGGCTCCCTCTCTCTCTGCCCCTCCCCCCCCACCCTCTGTCTCTTTCCCTCTCGAAAATAAGTAAACAAAAAAATAAAATAAAATGGGAATAATACAAGGATTTACCTCACAGAATTGATGGGAGGATTAGACAAACGAATACGCATAAAACTCTAGCACATGGCCTGGAGTGGATTAAGGTCATGCTAAGTGACCGTGATTCTTGCATATGATGTTATGCATCATCTTCGGTTACCATGGCTACAGCTTAATCATTGCTTCCTAACTCACCAGGTACTGTGTTAAGTAGTATACATGTAGTAGGTTATATATTTTTGTAAGTTCATTTATTTATTTTGAAAGAGAGAGCGTGCATGCCTGAGCAAGGAAGGGGAAGAGAGGGAGAGAGAGAGAGAAGGCTCCATTCTCTCAGTGAAGAGCCCGATGCAGGACATGATCTCACGAGCTGTGAGATCATGACCTGAGCCACCCAGGTGCCCCTATCATGTAGTAGATAAGTTTTAAAATATTAGCCGATACTCTTTGAGTGCCTTCAGTGTCATAATTCCCACTTTACAGACGAGGAAACTGAGGCTCAGAGACTTTAAGTAACTTGCCCCAGGTCATACAGCGGAGATTCAAACCCAGGCTGTCTGGCTGCAGAACCACACCGCTGATCAGTGCCCCCCTGAGGTCTGTTCTGCCCACGTCTGAATCAGCTCCTGGGACTTGTTATGAGACATAGACTCCCGGGCCCCATTGCACTGCCTACTCAGTCTGGGTGGGGCCCAGGAACCTGCATTTTTGCAAGCTTCCCTAGGTGGTTTTGACAAAGGCAACATTCTGAGAATTGGTGAATGACATCATGAGCCCCCCACCCCCCGCCCCATCCCCCTCGACTGGATATGGTGATCCTCCGCGGCCGGGCCGGGGTAGTTCTGGTGCAAGGCTTGCCAAGCTCCCGGTATACAGTAGGCACTCATCACTAACGGTGATGCTGCCACAGTGGCTCAGACACAGACACAGAGGCTCAGCTGCCTCTTTCCTGCCCTCTCCCCATCTCCTCTGCAGAGGTGGCTCCTGGTGAGCCCAGCTACGCAGGGGCCACCGCCCCAGCCCGGGAGGACAGAACAGGGGGAGCTGGGGGCTACTCAGCAGCTGGAGCCAGGGAGGACCGAGGGGGCCACCCACCGGGCCCCTATTCCCAAGCGGCTGCTGCGGCTCCCCAGCCCGCCGTGGCCCCTGCCCGCCAGCCCCCGCCCCTGGAGGACGAGGAGGAAGAAGCCAACAGCTACGATTCGGACGAAGCAAGTAGGTGGCACTTAGGGGAGGAGTGTTTGGGGAAAGTCACTTCGGGGTGTCGTCCCCGGGGACATCAGAATAGCCCCCCCATATGCCAAGCCTAATAAGCTGTATCAATCAAGTTATAAAGATACAAGTTTGTGTTGCTGAATTCAAAAAATGACCTCCGCTTTCTAAAGAGAAGGTGCTGTGTGTTTTTTATTGTGATGAAAAGCATAACATCAAAGTTGCCATGTAAATCACTTTTATATATATATATATATATACACACACACACACACACACATAACTTATGTAAGTCACATATATATATATATATACACATAATTTATTGTCAAGTTAGTTAACATACAGCGTATACAGTGTGCTCTTGGTTTTGAGGGTAGATTCCCATGATTCATCGCTTACGTACGACGCCCAGTGCTCATCCCAACAAGTGCCCTCCTCAGTGCCCATCACCCATTTCCCCCCCTCCCCAGCCCCCCCATCAACCCTCAGTTTGTTCTCCTCATTCGAGTCTCTTATGGTTTGCCTCCCTCTCTGTTTGAAACTTCATTTTTTCATTTAAACCACTTTAAAGAGTACAATTCAACTACATCGACAATGCTCAGATGTTCAGTGTTTGGTGGGTCCATAAGTCAAGCAGAATTATACGACCCAGCATCTCACTTCTACATTTATGTGTGTGTGTGTGTGTGTGTGTGTGTGTGTGTGTGTGTTTTACTAGTTTCCAAAACTCTTTATTGTGTGTCTTCTCGAAGTAATTTTTTAACCGTAATTCAAATATTTCTAGACATTTCCTCTTGCATCCATTCCTTCAGTGATTTATACAATGCCTGCTGTGTCCCTCTCCCACTCAGACCCGAAGTCCTAGGGACACACACACACACACACACACACGCAGTGGCACTTATCCTGGGTGTGTGTGGAGCAGCCGGGGAGAGCTGGGGTGGCCGTTGTGAGCTGGAGGGAGGCGTGGAAGGACACGTGTCTAGATCTAACGTGTTGTGGGGTTGGGGGCGTCCCAGGGGCTCCGAGTCAGGGGGACAGACCGCACCCACTCAGAAGAAGTGGACAAACAGCCGTGATCAGTGGCGTGGCTTGGTCCCCCCGTGTCACCACTCCTTGTTGTAAAATGGGAAGCAAATACTGCCTCCCGCACGGAGCTGAGGGGATGGTAAACTGAGGTACCCCCTGGGAGGAAAAACTGGCAGTCGTTATCATTATATAGTCCTAAACACACAGGAGGAATTATTATTTATGTGGTATGCACATCAGAAGTAATAATAGTCCATACTTGCTTGTTTTATGCCGGGCGCTTTCCTAAGTGTGTTCCGTGCACGTGCTCATTGAGTCTTCCTGCTCGGCCTGGGAGTAGTTGCTTCTACTCTTCCTATTTCGCAGATAGTGAAACTGAGGCTCCGAGGGCTTCAGGGACCTGTCCAACCTCACAGGGCCAGTGAGTGGAGGGGCTGACGGTCGCATTGCTGTAGCAGATCAGCTGGGTGAAATAGATCAGGATGAAATATCAGCTGTCCCCTCTGTCCCCTGTGCTCTGTCATGGGTCTGCAGTCTCGGGAAAGGAGTGTAGGAAGGTCCACCGCCTTGTGAGCGACGAACTGTTTCCTGCCTCGGAAATGCACACTGTGTCCGGCCCGCCTTTCTGCACACTGGCACTTGTGCCTTAAGTGTCTCTTCACTGACCTGCCGAGCCTAGATGATCCCTCCCAGCCTGTATCTGTCCCTCTTACGAGCTGACCCCAGTGATTTATAACAATCCTATACTGTATTTAGCTGTATATACCGCTCACTCACTCATTCACTCATCTTTATAACCAATAAGTACTTATCAAGTACATACTATGTGCCCCAAACTATTCTAGGTGCTAGAGACACCATGGCCAAAAAAAAAAAAAAAAAAGGCAGCCGAGATGGCTAATCTAACGGAACTACCATTCTAGTGGAGAGAAACAGTTAACATACAAATGAGTTCATTTCAAATAGACATAGCACAGCAGGAAGGAAATAAAGGCAATGGCCACGGGGGTGGCTGCTTTAGATGGAGTGGTCAGCGAGGGCTTCCCTGAGGAGGTGACGTTTAAGCCGAGATGTGGATGATGAGAAGATGGCAGCCACGTGAGGATCTAGAGGGAGAGTATTCCAAGCAGAGGTAACGGCAAATGCCCAGATTCATTTATTCCTTTAGCAAGTAAGTGAGCAACGACTGTGCTTCCTGCACTGTGCCCAGTGGGGGCCCAGCAGTGGACAGTCACAGCCCTTGCCCTCGTGGGGCTCTCAATCTAGCAGGATGGGAAGTCGTTAACTTGACAATTGCACACCCGATTCACTGATCACAGGTGTGCTGAGGGCTCCAAAGTAGAGGAGGGCCTACCAGGATGGCGAGTCCAGAGCAGGGACCGAGTCTTCCTCTCTGTAGGCTCAATGCCTGGACCGGACTGGGCACTTAGTAAGTGCTCAGGAAATGTTTGTTGAGTGACTGAATGAATGTTCTCTCGGTTCCTGCCTCTGCCCCCTTCAGCCACCCTGGGTGCCCTGGAGTTCAGTCTTCTCTACGACCAGGACAACAGCTCCCTGCACTGCACCATCATAAAAGCCAAGGTAGGTGAGAGGCCCAGCTGGGGACCGCTTAGGATGCCCTGGCATTTCTAGGGGACTCGGGGTTGGCGTGGGTTACCAGGCCTGTTGATCTGTGACCGTGACGGTAATGAGAAGGGGGCAGGAATTAACCGTGGCCACTTCCTTTGGAGGACTTTCTTCAGGGGTGGTCTCGGGTCGGGGGGGAGGGGCTCACTGATCTGTAGCTCCCGGGAGCAGAGGCAGCCGGGCTTCAAGGGCAGAACTGGAATCTGCCCAAGAGGCGCCGCCTGGGGAAGCGGTGACAGCCTGACCTGACAGCTGACATGCCCACCGAGGGCTCCTTCTGTTGATGTGACTGTCGGGCTGGAGCAGCGGCTGGAGTGGGGGCGGGGGAACCATTGTTGCAGATGCGAGAACATCTCCCTGCTGCGGGCCCCCGGGGGAGTGAGCGGACTCAACTCCAGACCCCGAGGAAAGCTGGATGATGCCAGTGCAGATCCCAGAAAGTAACTGACCAGAGCTCCCCCCACTGCAAGCCTGGTCCACGTGGAAGAACAAACGAGAAACAAGGCTCAGGAAGCAGACTGCCGGGTTCAAATACCAGCTCCATTGCTTCCTGGCTGTGTGATTTGGGGAAAGTTACTTCACCTCTCTGTGCCTCAGTGTGCCATTTGTAAATAGGGAATAATAATGTGCCTCTCCTGTAAGGATGACTGAGTACTTTTTTTTTATTCTGAGAAAGAGAGTGTGTGAGTGGGGGGGACAGGGAGGGGGAGGGAGAATCCGAAGCAGGCTCCACGCTGTCAGCGCAGAGCCCGATGCAGGGCTTGATGTCACGAATCGTGAGATCATAAGCTGAGCCGAAGTCAAAAGCCAGACGCCCAACCGACTGAGCCAGCGAGGTGTCCCAAGGATGACTGGATATTAAGAGGAAGGTGGCCACATATTCCCGTCTGCCCAGGACAGTCCCTGGCCACGCCTGTGAGGCTGTAATGATTAAAAGCCCCCCTTTTCACTTGCCTAACGCCCCAGTTTGGGATATAAACGAGGCTCAGCAGTGCCTGGCACCACTCCTGGGTCAACACACCCAGGTCACGTCTTCGGAAGAGGCATTGAGCGTGTATTTTGTATCCGTCACCGTAGCAAGCACGTGCTTGCACCCACCCCCGGCCTCCAGTAGCACCGTGAGGTAAGCACATTCATGATCTCATTATATCTTCCTGGGAACCTCCGAGGTGGGGATCATTATTAGCCCCATTGTACAGATGGGGAAACTGAGTCCTAGAAAGGTTAAAGCCTGAGGTCACCCGGCAGGTAGGGATAGAGCTGGATTTGAGTCTGGCTCAATGCCCAGGCATTCAGTCCCCTCTTTCAGCTCCAGAAATGGGGAATGCCACAGCATGCCAGCCCCCTGGAGACAGGGCCACAGAAAACTCACACGCTCTCGGGCCGGGCTGGTAACGGGGGTGAGGAAGGTGCGTGAGATGTTCGGCTGTGATGGTGACTGTGGTCAACTGGACTGAGCAGGCCCCAAACAGAGACGTTCAAATTCAGAGTTTAAAGGCACAGCGTCTGCCAGTTTGCAACGTTGGAACCCCAATAGTCATTCCAGAAACGTCTGCTAAATACCTCCTCTGTACCAGGCACTGTCCCGAATGCTGGCGATCCCAGAGTGAACAAGGGCTGGCCCTGCTTTGGGGTTCACTTTGGGGAAACAGCCAAGAAACTGTGGCCGTAGCATTTCCTGAGGATCACACACCCTCCGGGGCTTTCCACAGATTACTTTGTTCCCCTTCACCTTCACAGCAACCTGTGAGGAAGGGTCTATCATCATCATCCCCATTTTATAGACGGACACACTAAGGCACAGAGGGATTAGGGACCTGCCCAGATCACATAGCCAGGAAGTGACAGAGCTGGGATTTGAACCAGTGTAGTCCAGCTCAGGAGCCTGCGTTCTTACCCACGATGCTGCTCTGCGAGCTCTCCCCCTTGCACCCCGCTTTGTGGCACCGTCTCCACATTGTCCGCACTCGCTAGTGCGGGCCCAGAGCTCGCCCTTCATGGGAGAGGTCTTCATCCCCTAAGAACGTGAACAGATAGGGAAACAGGTGCACAAAGATGCGTGACTTTGGGATTAGGGCTGTGAGAAGGGACAGTGGGAGCCCAGAGGAGGGACGTCTGCCCAGCCCGGGCCTAGGAAGTTGACAGAATGTGTCTGGGCCCCGGGAATTTGGGGTTGCTCATATAAACAAGCCCAGTGTAATCCCTGCCCCAAACTCCCTTCCCCCACAGTGTCTCCCTTGAGCCTCATTCCAGCCCTGTGAGGGGGGCCAGGCAGACATTGTGATCCGCCTTTTATGGGTGAAGAAACTGAGGTCTCAGAAATGAGTACAGGGGCCAGAACTCAAGCTCTCTTTCCCCAGCTTCTCCACTTCTCCCATCTTCCCTGTTCTGGAACATCGCCTCCCATCTCAGAAATAACAGTCCAGCCTTGGGGCGCCCGGGTGACTCAGTCAGTTGAGCGTCCGACTTCGGCTCAGGTCATGATCTCGCGGATTGTGAGTTCGAGCCCCGCCTTGGGCTCTGTGCTGACAGCTCAGAGCCTGGAGCCTGCTTCGGATTGATTGTGTGTCTCCTTCTCTCTCTGCCCCGCCCATGTTCATTCTCTGTCTCTCAGTAATAAATAAACATTAAGAAAAAAAACTTTTTTAAAAAAAAGAAGAAGAGGGGCGCCTGGGTGGCGCAGTCGGTTAAGCGTCCGACTTCAGCCAGGTCACGATCTCGCGGTCCGTGAGTTCGAGCCCCGCGTCGGGCTCTGGGCTGATGGCTCAGAGCCTGGAGCCTGTTTCCGATTCTGTGTCTCCCTCTCTCTCTGCCCCTCCCCCGTTCATGCTCTGTCTCTCTCTGTCCCAAAAATAAATAAACGTTGAAAAAAAAGAAGAAGAAATAACAGTCCAGCCTTAACGCAGCAGTTACCGTGGGCCAGGCTCTGTGCCTAGCACTTTACAGGTATAACTGTGTTGAAGTCCTACCGCTCCGTGAAGCAGATACTGTCATCCCATTTGACGGATGCGGAAAATGAGGCTCAGGGAGGCTGAGGAACTTGCCCAAACTCACACAGCTGGGAAGGCGTCACACGTGACCAGGCTTCAAATCCTGTCTGCCTGATTCCGGCGTTCTTTCCAAGAGACTTCCCTTCTCTCTCTTTGGAAGAGGAAGCACACGGGTGGACCGATGGGCAGGACAGATGTCAGGGGCTGTGTCCATTGCCTATGACGGTTGAGTGCCAGGCCCTCCCGAGGCCCTCATGCTGTTGCCTGTTCTCTTGCAGGGACTGAAGCCCATGGATTCCAACGGCTTGGCTGATCCTTACGTTAAGCTGCATCTCCTGCCGGGAGCCAGCAAGGTACCATATGGCCCGGGCCTCTCGGCAGGCTGGGCACATGGGCCCTGGCAGGCAGCCAAGGTTCCCAGCCCAGAGCCTAAAATAGCCTTATCTGGCCCCAGCGCCCCTCCTCCCTGAGCGGCAAAGTCCTTGCAAGGGGTAAGGGACAGACAGGAGTCATCCTTCCCCAAGGGGCAGGCGCTCTGCCCATTTCTCCAGCCCAGGAACCTGGGATCCAAGGAGCTGCCGAAGGCCAGGGGGGAGCAGAAGCCCTGATTATGCGATCCACCTGCTCAGATACCTTCAGTGGTATCTGAGCTGACTGTGGCTCACTTCCCCCACTCACTACGTCCCAACCAAAGACTCCTCAGCTCTTAACAGAAATGAATAACTCTCTCCAGGCTGTGGGGCTAAGCATTTGAGACAATGTTCTGTTACTGAGTGAAAGTCAGTGTATCGCGACCTTGCCCTGAAAATGGAGTTAACTCTCCTCCCTTTGGATTGACCCACTCAGAAGACAAGGCTAGAAAGGAAAGGGTGCTTTCTTGAGTTTTGTTTTCTGGTTTGTTGACTTAATTTGATATGGATGTCCTAAAAACAAGGGCGACCGCACACTCGCTTATGTGATCTTGGGAAACTGCCTGTTAAAAATCTCTGCAAATAAGAAATGCCACATCACACAAAAAGAGGACACACGTGCGTGCATTCACATGCATGTTCTCTCTCTTACTCTTTCTTTGTCTGGATCAAGGAGAGTCCCTCACCGGGCCGTGGCCAAACTTTGAAGTGTTTGGCTACTACTCGTTCTGACTCCCCAGTGACATTCGCTTCTCCTTGAGACTCTTTGCTTAGTCCTCAATCCAAACTTGCTTTGCCAAAGCACCCAGTGAGTCATTTACATGTTGTATGAATTAGATTTGTCACCAGGCCACCTCTTCTGGACACAGTGCGTGTTTAGCCTTCTCTCTTAGAACAAAATGAAAACTTTGTCCCTGAAGGAATTCAGTCATGGAGGAAGACAGAAGGAACCATTTCAATATCCCCAGAAATTGTTTCTTTACTGCCTAGAAACGGGGGACTCTTATTTCTGCCTCTCTGGCCTATAAATCATATTTTTTTTTCCTCAGAGGAAGGTGTCTCTGCTTTCTAATCTTAGTGGAAAGTTCAAAGAGAGGGACCAGTGCATGGAGGGAGGGGTGGCCCAATGTCCAGCATTGGTGATGGCTGTAGCCATCACCCTACAGGATGCCCCTCACTCACCAAAAACATGCATTTGGGAGCATCTGAGCCCCTGGATACTCATAAGGGGAGAGGACTCCTACCTCATCCGCCCACCCCCCACCCCCAAATCAACCCAAAGGATAGGGCCGCAGGGCTGGCTCCCCACCGAGGCAGGTGTCTGTCCATCTCTCTGGGCTCTAGTCCAACAAGCTTCGTACAAAAACCCTGCGGAACACCCGGAACCCCGTGTGGAATGAGACACTTGTCTATCACGGCATCACAGACGAGGACATGCAGAGGAAGACGCTCAGGTACCTGGCAGGAGGGTGGGCGGACAGGACACGGAGGCCGGGTAGATGGACACGTCTGTAGCTGCCAGGGGCCACTCTGGAAAATGTGTCTGCTTACTTCTTCCTTTCTTTTCCACTTCTACAAAAACAGTATATTGCTGGTAGAAACTTTTGAAAACAGCGCTAAACAAAACTCTTAACATCTTGGTGTCTGGACATTCGGGGTGTGTGTGTGTGTGTGTGTGTGTGTGTGTGTGTGTGTGTATTTATGCGTATGACCTTGCGTGTGTGTGCAAACAGTTCTTCTAAAATTAAGTGTTTATATGGGGCACCTGGGTGACTCGGCTGAGCGTCCGACTTTGGCTCAGGTCATGGTCTCGTGGTCTATGAGTTTGAGCCCTGCATTGGGCTCTGTGGTGACAGCTCGGAGCCTGGAGCCCGCTTCGGATTCTGTGTCTCCCTCACTCTCTGCCCCTCCCCTGCTCACGCTCTGTCTCTCTCTCTCAGTAATAAATAAACGTTAAAAAAAAAAGTAAAATTAAGTGTTTATAAAAATGGACCATCCTATTAATTAATTAGCCTCTCTTACTTAACAGTATATTGGTGGCATTTTATATTCTTCAGTGTTTTATTAAACTGCATTTGTAATTATAGAAGTCATAAATGAATACACGTTCCTTGTTATAAAAAAAAAAATTACAGAGAAGGCAAAGCTCCTTTTAAATGTTAATCCCCTCTGCCAGCCCGGGTCTGCTTCCTCCCTTTGTGAATGAACACATATTCATACCGCTGTTCAGAACCTATAAAGTATCATGTTGCATAGATCTGGAACTTTCCTTTTTTTCTTAACAATGTATCTTGGCGTTATAGCCAGGAGAAGACATTTAGATCTGCCTCATATTTGACTGCTTCGGAGAGTTGTACAGAACGGCTTATCACACGTTTTTGAAAACGTTTTATAATTTAAATATTACAAAGACACAGAAGAGTGTAGAACGTAATAAAACAAACACCGACAAACTCAATACTCGGTCTTTTAGAAAATCGCACTCTTCCGCTGTATGTGCTGCTTTTTAAATTATTATTATCTTCAAGAAATAAAGCGCCACAGAAGCAGGTTGAAGCTTTTCTTCTATACCCTTTCTTTCTCTTCCTTCCCTCGCAGGGCTAAACACCATACTGAATTTTATGGATATCGTTCCCCAGCATGCCTTAGGCCTTAGCTGCATAACTAGTATCTATACACCGTGGTGGTATTATCTGGCATGTTTTTAAATTTTATGTAAATGTTTGCCAGTTTATTCAGCCATCGCTCTGTGGACGGACATTTAGGTTGTTTCCAGCCTCTATTAC